ATTCTCAATCAAAATTTCCGCAGCAACCACAAAAATGCAGTAGCCAGTTGCCATCCGTAATAGAAAGAAAATCCCAATACTCTGTTGGCACGATCTCTGAGAACAAAATCGTAGCGCTGTTGATAGTTTTAAAATATTTTAAATAGATTTGGCTCACAAACGCCTCTTTAGATGGTCGGAACTTTTTAATGAATCTGTAGACAAATTTCTTAAATATATTTTATATCAAAATATATTCGAAAGGCTAATAAACTTAAACTCTCTTAAACATTTGCTACTCCTGGCCAGTTTACTAAGCTCTCATCCTCGGACGAATCGTTGAACCCCAGAACTTCGTTGTACTCATTTTACCACGTTTTTATAAACTTGCTTTCTTTTTTACTTCATTTTAATTAGAACAAATTTACATACATAAATATGTATAAGCACACTATTTAGTTTCCTCGATTTGCAAACATTCTTCATCGAATGAGCGCCATAATACCAAATGAAAATTCGTTCGCTCAGCACTTTCGACCACACTCGAAAATCGAATGCAACTCATAATAGGGGCCTTAGTTTTAGGTGCAAATTTTTGACAAACAGTCAAGCTTGATTATTTGTCAAGTGTACAGTGAGTACATGATGGCTGCATTTCTTTATTCATTCTGAACGTTTGGAATAAACTTTTTTGTTTATTTATTCTTTAGAACGTTCCTGATGATATGTTAACGTATATTTCAAACGCATTCTATTTATTCCGGCTGTGAAATTGGATTATCCGGAATGTATAAAGAAACGCAGCCAATGTAAATGAAGAACCCTAAATTTATACTACAAATATTTACGGTTTACGAGGAGAAAAAAATGTATCGCCAAACTCCTAAACCTCGAAAGATAAATCTGTCCAACAAAAGATAAGAAATATAAATAGCTACATATGTCCGGGTGCGTACGAAAAAACTTGCAAGGAACTTGTAGAGTTGGGGGAAATTGAGAAACCAAAAACCACACAATTCACACTTTTCCTGAATTAGTTAAAAGTTCACTAAAGCGTACGACTAAAATTGAAAATGCAACTTTGTTCGTTATCACCTACGTAAGCAAAATCCATTTTCACTAAAATCGTATCAGCCTTTTTTGCGAAATATTGACATTCAAGAATTGCAAAATTATAAAAATTTCAGAAAAAACTTTTGTTCTCATATTTTTTTTTATATTCCTGTGTGCGCCCCTTAGATCAACGCAATTTCAGACAGTTGAATAAATTTTACTTTCGTTTTTCCCAACAGAATTTTTCTTCAACATGGTGCATATCTATATTTTTTTTGTTTTCTTCATGACTTATATTTGTAAATAAAACTCAACTTGTCTACACACACTTCCAGTCCCGAATTGTATTTCACAATTACTTACTAAATCAGAACGTATTGAAACGCTAAAAATATTTATTAAAAATAAATCAAAACAAGAAATACATTATTAACTATTTTTTTGCAAGAGAATTATGCGTTAACGAGTCAAGGGCTGT